TTCAGTCCTTCCCATAACCATGTGACCAACCTCGCCCCAACAAACAGAGGTACGACATCTCCACCCATACAAGAGCTCAAAAGGTGGAACACCAATGTTGGAGTGGTAATTGTTGTTGTAGCAGAACTCCGCAAAGGGTAGGTAGGAATCCCAGCTCCCACCAAAATCAATAACACGGGCCTGCAACATATCCTCGAGGGTCTATATCGTCCGCTCACTCTGGCCGTCGGTCTACGGATGATAACCAGTGCTAAAATGCAACCTCGTGCCCAGTTCCTCGTGGAAATTTTACCAGAACAGGAGGTGAACCGAACATCACGGTCTGAAACAATTAAAACTGGGACCCCATGGCGAGCAACGATCTCGCGAACATACACATCAGCCAACTTCTCGACCGAAGAACTCTCCCGAATCGTTAAAAAGTGAGCACTCTTGGTCGATCGATCCACGGTGACCCAGATAGCATCAAAACCCTTTGCCGTCTTCGGCAAATTAGTGATAAAATCCATCGAAATCTGCTCTCATTTCCACATGGGGGCCTCCATAGGTTGTAACTTACCATGTGGTCTCTGATGCTCAGCCTTGACCATCCTGCAGGTCATGCATCTCTCAACATACCAAGCTATCTCCCTCTTCATACACGGCCACCAATAGCTCAATCTCAAATCCCGATACATCTTGGTGGCCCCTGTATGAATAGAAAAGTGAGACTTATGAACCTCCTCCAACACAATCTGTCTGATCCCACCAGAAATTGGAACCCAGACCCATCCAGATCGGGTCAATAACCCTCGACTATTTGTGAGAAATCTTTCAATCTTACCTCTGATCCTCTCCTGCTTCTAGTTCTCATTCCGAACTCCCTTGGCCTGGGCCTCCCTGATCAACCCCAAAAGCGGGGAATCAACTGATATCCTCATACACATCTCCCTATCCGAAGATCCAGCCGACTTGGGGCTCAAAGCATCCGCCACCACATTCGCTTTACACCGATGGTAAAGGATCTCGCAATCATAATCCTTGACTACGTCTAGCCACCTTCGCTGCCTCATGTTCAGATTCGGCTGGTCAATGATATGCCTCAAACTCTTGTAATCCGTGTAGATAGTACAACGGACACCATAAAGATAGTGTCTCCAAATCTTGACGGCAAAAACCACTGCCCCCAACTCTAGGTCATGAGTGGGACATTGTGTCTCGTGCGGCTTCAGCTGCTGCGAAGCATAAGCGATCACCCGTCCTTTATGCATGAGGACTGCCCCCAAACTAGCATAAACATGAAGAAATGAGCAATAAAACCTAGATCTAGAAGATTACATGGAAAAGATAAGAGCTTGTGGACTTACAAAAGTCCAGAAAATGCACTGATGGATGAAGATGAGCTTGCTTGAAGAATCCTTGTACTAGAACACCTTCTTTCTTCAAAAATCACAAGAACACCACAAAAGGCTTAAAAATGGAGGAGATGTGATTAGGGTTTGCTTCAAGGCACTTGGAGGTTGAGGGTGGACGGAACCCTAGCCATTACTTCCTTTAAATAGGGCCCACCAAAAATCTAGGGTTTTGAGCCTTAGACATCACCACGTTTTGGCCGCTTAAAAGATCGCGGCTCAAAAGACGTTGCCATGTCATGGTGATCCTCCTTCACCACGTTATGGCCACCAAAACTCCACAAGATTGAAACATAAAACTCATACCTGAAAACCGGATGTTACAAAAGAAAACATTGGTTTTCTTTCATTTTTGGAAAGCTAAGAAAGAACTCTCAATATATATATATATATATATATATATATATATATATATATATATATATATATATATTAGGGGTGTGCGCGATGCGGTTTGGTGCGGTTCATAGTCAAAACCGCAAACCGCACCGCATATGCGGTTTCTGTTTTTCGGAAACCACGAACCGCACCGCGAAGGTAGTAAACCGCATTATGCGGTGCGGTTTTATGCGGGCGGTTTGTACGGTTTGAATGCGGTTTATGCGGTTTACGAGTTGTTTAACTTACACTATACCGACTTAAATGATAATAATGGTAAATGACCACACGGGTAATTAATTGTTTATTCTTTTTTATATGTAAAATATGATGAAATATTTGTAATTCGTGGAGCTTCACACTGACGATATGGAGCTTCACAATGAGCATTACATAAAATTCACAATGAGCTTTACAAAAAAGTATTTTATATCCCATACGGTTTCATGTAACTAAATTGATTCACACTTTTATGTGATATCTCATATAACTATATTTAACAAACTTGTTTATATGGATGAAATTCAGTACATTTTCTTGTAAAATAAAATTTACAAATATCTAAATTATATGTTTAGTATATTTGAGTTACATATTGAAACGTAAAACCTATATATTAATCTACAAGAGTATTTAATATTACATAATACATTTATTTGAGCTCATGTTTTGTTATATTCTAAACATAATGGTAGATTTTGTTTTGTTATATATATATATATATATATATATATATATATATATATATATATATATATATATATAACAACACTCAAATCTTTTTAAAAATCATGACCAATCTAAATTACTAACCTTTGTACTCAATGAATGTTTTACTAACAGTGCAAGTTGCTCTACACGATCACCTATACGGATAGTCGAAAAGTATCAACATTGGAAAACCATAATGAAAAAATATTTAAAGCATAAAGCGAAGGATATCTGGAGATCCATTGAGCGTGGTCCTCATGTTGATGTAAGAGCCATTAGAGATGATGTAGTTGTCCAAATTCTTAGTGCATTTGGTCTACAAGCTAAGGACAACTCACAACTCTAGATCTTGAGAAATTAAAGAATGACAAAAATAACTTATATTGAGCTTATATATAAAATACCACCAAACCTATTTAAGTATATCAAACTATGTAAATCAGTTCAAGCTATTTGGTTGACTTTAGAATGAATGTTTGAAGAAACCTAACACTACAAAGAGACTAAACTCTGTAAACAATGACTTTAACAACTTTCAAATTCTTCCCAGAGAATCTCTTAATGATGCATGTAAAATATCTTAATGTGCCATTAACAACTTAGCCAGCCTTGACACTATCACAAGTAACATTAAGACCAACATCAAGTTCATGGATGGTCTAAGGAGAGGGTTGCATAACTCTGTTGATTGAAATTGGAAAAGGAAATCTAAAAAAAATGAAATCAGTGTTCTATCTGTCAACTCTCAAAGGCAAAATCTATGAGGAATACTTGCCTTAGTTTCATAACTCAGAATTTGTCCCACCCGTGAACTCTCAAATTCCTCCACCTTTACAAACTTATCCATATGGTGTTCTAACTTACACAACAACAGTCAATGTCTGTTCACCTCAATCTTATGCTCTCTCAAATCAATTTTCTTATACCAAGATGATAAGGAAGAGGCATTTCAAAAGGAATATGCTCTCTTAACTCAACGATTCAATCAAAGACTGCATTTCGAATACCAGCAACAACCACAGTATAAACCTCAAGAGTACTAAAAACCTCCTTTACATTATCAATTCCCTCAACAAAACTTTACTCCACAACCATACCAACAACCTTAATATCCTTAACCACAAATTTAGAACACTTCGCAAGAAAACTTTTGGTCGGCAGTTCAAGTAAAAGGAGGGTTCAAGTAAAATCCTCATTCTGCTCCCGTAGAGAAGGATTCAACCCAAACATCAAAAGACATCTCAGAAGTCATCTATTACAACTATAACCCTCTGAACTTCGTATGAGATTTTTACCCAAATTTTATTCTATTTTTTGGGTGATAACATTTATATATCCGACTTTATTCAATTTTCATTGGATGGTTTGAGTAACATTCGAGATAATCTGATATGATACATCAATTAAGGTTAATTTGTTCCAAAATATTTCCAAATTAACTCTATACATTACCAAAACACAAGTGATAAATTGATTTTCATTTTAATGATCGACAAATTCTAGTTATACATATAATTGTCAAAACAAGTAAAATATAAATTGGTATTTTATGTTTTTAGTCGTTAAAAGAGAAACACTACAATCCATATGGGTTTTGGGGGGTTAAAAAGAGTGGTATAAAGGTAAATTGGTATCCATACCATATAAAGAAACACTAAAATCCAGATAAGGGTGATGCTTGTATTTTGGGGGAGAGAGAGAGAGAGAGAGAGAGAGAGAGAGAGAGAGAGAGAGAGAGAGCAATTTCGCTAGGTATGGTACGATGGTGTATACTACGATTAGAGGTGAGAACAGAGAGCGGATACCTGTTTTTGGAACCAAAATCGCCTTGGAACCATCTGGAACCAAAACCGAGGTCACTAGTTCCGATTTTGGTTCCTAAAAGTGGGAACCGCCAACGACCGGTTTCGATTCCGGTTTCCATTTTTTAGGAACCGTTATCCGACGGTTAAGGTAACCGCCGGAATCGGTTCCAAAATATTAAAATTTAAAAATATTTAATACTTAAATGAATTGGCCGCAACAATGTTGATGACTCCGACATTTGTTGAGACTATCTAATTAGATATTTGGAGGTAATATGCTAATAAGTTGTATTTGCAAATTTTTTTTGCAAAACAAATAATTAATGTGAATGTGTGACGGTAGAACAATTTGAGTATACGTGATGGTAATATCTTTTGAAAGTATATGATGTTGAATAATATTAACAAGTTGATGATAAGAACATGAACTTTGGTTTATGACTTATATTTTTAGCAATTTGGATTATTTTTTAAAACAATTATTTTTTTGCCGTTTGTAACTTGTATCGTAATGAACTAGTTATAGTATTTATTTTTTGTTTCAATGGCTAAGAATTATTTGAAGCAACGAAACTAAAAAAATTACATAACTGGTTCCGGAACTGGCGATTCTGGGATTGGTTCCAAAAATTTAAGTACCTCGGCGTGACATGAGCGTGAAAGGGGGATAAGAAATAAACTAACCAAACCATGGATAAATCCAAGCGAACTTTTCTTAAATCCAAGCGATCTTTTCGTAGGCGTTTGCCCCCGATCCAATCGGGGGATCGAACTGATTATAAAAACATGAGTTTTAATTAGTCGATTTATTAGTGAACAGGGAAAAATATTATCTAGACGAGTGAATATATTGACCTTGAAACAACAACGATTAATTACTATTGCTATAAAACAAGCACGTATTTTTATCTTTGTTACCTTTTTCTTAATAATGAGAAACAATTTGAAAGAACCGAGTCAACCACTAGAACTCCTAGTCTTAGAGCTAGAAAAAAGATAGGTTTACTCTTTATTCACTAACTTCACAGGAGCCGCCGGTTCCGATTTTGTTTACCGTGAAATGAGGCGGCTACCCACTTATGCTCATCCCTAACTACGATGGTGTATAATGATGGTTTTAAACACAAGGATGAAACTTAGTGTATGTGAGTATGATAGAGTGCATATCGTTATGCACTACAACCGCCTTAATGCGTTAATTAAAAATTTAATCCGTCACTTGCAACCCCTATATTTTCTAAAGTGATATTATCACTTTCACCCCTTCCACCTTCAACTTTGTAAAATATCATTTTCATCCCTTCATTTTTTAAACTTACGTATATATCCTCCGTCCCCGTAGTATATAGGGTGTGTTAGGCAAAACATGCTGATAGCAGGTAGCGGGTAGCTGGTAGCGTTTTGTTAAACACTACGTAATATAGCTTTTAGATTTGAAACATTTTGTTTAAACTAAACCCCAAAAACTTATAGTGTTAAACGAAATTTTTTGTTCAAAACAGAACGTTTTGTCTAACGCTAGAAACTACAAGCTTCCAAACGTTCTGTGTCAAACATGCCCGTAATATGATTTTCCCTCCTCTATTTTCCTAATTCGCAATAAAAACACGTAAAACCCCGCGGCAACGTGCGGGCTCAATTACTAGTTTTGTCTAAATAATAAGTACTTTTAAATAAGTTAGAAGTAAATAAAAAACTGATTATTTAGGTCAATAAGCATGTTTTATTTTAATTTCATCGAACACTAAAAAAATGTTTATTAAAGGAAGCATAATTTAGCTAATTTTACATATAAACCAATAGCAGGTTTCTTAAAGCAACTTCTTATCCTCATCTCCAAATCTAATTATTTGATACTACATGATTGACCCCCTGAATAACTAATTTTACAACCCTAGAAACTAGATTCAAGTCTTATCACTAAAGGGCAGAAATGTTTTACAAAGAAAAGGGCAGAAATGAAGTCTAAAAAGCTTGAAGACAGTAAAGAGTTCAGAACACCAAGTCTAATAAGAACTAAGAAGCTACATGTTCACAAGAATACAGCATTTAACCTTTAAAGCACCAATGTTGCTAAGCTTAAACTATCAAATTACAAGAACACTAAGATATGGAAAGTTTCTGACGAATTACGGATACAATCATGATATATATCTTCAAAACAAATGTCTTAAAGTTGAATGCAATTCAGGAAATGTATAATTGCTTATTAATCACCTATCATGTAAGCAGTAAGCGTATGCATTTCTAACAATATCGATCCATATAACTTGGTATCAATGGAAGAAATTGTATGCATTTTTCTTAACTAAAGAGAAAGGAGAAGATCATATTCATCATAAACTATTTTTAATGATCTGCCTTCTTGCTAGAAACCTAGCAATCGGAGGTGTGAGAGCAATGGTGATCGGAACTCTAACCGGAAACAGAGCCTTATTACAAAGAACCGCTAACGCCAATGCTCCGCCGCTCGACGCCGCGAGCTCAGCCGTCCGATTCCTCGGCTTCGTCGCCTCATCGATTGATTCCTGATTTGATTGTGGAAACCCTGTAGCAGTGTCTACTTCTACTTCCTTTGGACCGCTCATGCCGAATTTTTCGAGAACGGATTCAAGTTGCTTGAAACGAACTTTTTCCATAGCTGATTCGACGTCGATATTGTTCTTTATGGCGACGTACAATCCGGTAATGCTGGCGGCTGAGACGGAACAGTGTACAACTAGCGCCACTTTACCGTACTTTTTTAGTAGCTCGCGAAATCGACCTCCGGCCATTGGCGATCGAAGATCAAACTGATTTGGCTCTGAATCAGGGTTTTCGATGGGGGTTTTGCCTGAGTGAAGGTAGAAGACGGGTTGTCGGAAGTCTCAACTCTCAAGTGATGTTATATTCTTGGGCTGGACTTTGTTGGCTTAGACCTTAGAGAAATAGTTGAAAGCCCATTTGTATTTAATTATTTATCAAACAGTATGTAAAAAAGAAATAAGCCCGTTCTATAAAGGGCAAAATATAGAAAAAACCACAAGTTATTATTTATTACTGTATATGATTTCGAAAACCCCGTTCTATAAAGGGTAAAATATAGAAAAAACCTGAGGTTATTATTTATTATAACTAGGTTATAACCCGTCACACGGGATAACTTAAAATAGTTTAAATATTAATAATATTGTACTCTAAAAGTACAACGTTGTAATTGGGAGGCTATATCTTTCTTTTATACACAAAGTGCAACACAAAAAAAAAAAGACTGAGTTCTTATAAATGTCAACAAATAAAAAACAATTTAAATGATTTCCTCAGGTTGAACTTCATATAATGAATCTGTAAAGATAACCAAGTGTATTGTCACGTGGCGAAATTGGTTTTATTTATTAGATTAGGAGATTCTATTTGTGTAAATTTGTGGTTGACTTTTTGAGAATATATCTTGTATAAACATGAGTTGTGATTAGATAATATTATTTACTAACTAATTAAATTCCAAACACATATGTAAAAATGCCACATTTATAAAATTTATGGAATAAAAATCACTATACAAATATTTTTAATCAATTGCCGATATATAATGTTAAATTTAAATTTTAGCATTATTACAAATAAGTTGCATTTGATTAGGGACAACACAATGGCTACGACATATCACAATGCTTAGAACAACCTTTTTACCATTCTTGGGTCCTGCAAATAGATACAATGAAAAGAGGGATCACAAAAGGAGGAAGAGAGCAACTTATTTATTATTAATAAATAACTTAGAATTAATCTATTCATGCATCATTGCCTCGTAAAAGTTTGTTTTTATTGGTTTTTACTCTTCATCTTATGAGTAAATAAGAAAATGGAGTTTTTAATGCAAACCTAATAATCATGCTTCAAAATGTACTTTCAGCTACAACCATTTTTTGAAAGAGAAATGAAGTTTTTCTTTGTTACCGCTGACACTGTAACGCCCCAATTCTGGTATGTTATTTAAATATTTATTTTTCAAGTTTTCAAGAGGAACTCGACGAGTCAGTAGCCCGACTCGTCGAGTAGAAACGGGATATTGAGCACGTTTAAGTTGGCGACTCGACGAGTCCATATTCTGGACTCGGCGAGTCCGCCAGTCTAGAAGAAACCCTAATTTCAAGGGTTTGCACCCTATTTAATCAACTTTTTGGGGCCTCAAGTCAGCCCCCATCACCCCCATAGCATCCTTCTCGAAACCCTAGCACTCTCTTAGCATTTTGTGTGTTTTGGTGTGATTCTTTGAAGATCTTGAGAGAAGAAGGAAGGTAGATCAAGAGGAGAAGAAGGAGATCCAAGATCTTTGTGGCATTTCAGAGTATAGTGAGGTATAACTCGACCCTTTTCTGTTTCTATGCTTAAATCCCCATTGGAACACCATTAAAGCTATTCTTGAACCATTCTTGGCTTGGTAGTAGCATAGAGGACACATTGAGATGAATAGCCTTCGGATCTAGCTATGTTTGAGTTCCAGAAGCCTAGATCTAATACCTTTATGGAGCCACATTGCATGAAAGCCCTAGATCTACTCTTATAGTGTGTTTTGAGCCTTAAAACCTTCATTGGTGTTTATTTACACGTAAAGTTGGAAACTTTACGTGTTAAACAAGCCCTAAGAACCCAGATCTACGAATGGAATGAACTGGATTCAAGCAGAATCGAGTATATAGTGATTGCATGTATACGACTCGGCGAGTCGTTCTTCAGACTCGACGAGTCGAGTCGCGAGTCCCCTGTTTTCCCCCTTTTCGAGTTATGCCGAGTGTAACCAGTGAGTGAGAGGTGGACTCAGTGAGCTGGAGGTTAGACTCGTTCATGGAGGGACTCGGCGAGTCAATGCCCTGACTCGGCGAGTCCAAGGCAATCTTCATACCTCAAGAACAGACTCGACGAGTTGTTCATACAACTCGGCGAGTCAGATGAAGATTTACTGAGTATTAGTATCGAAGAGGAACTCGTCGAGTCTATGCCAAACTCGACGAGTAGTAGCGGGCAGGATTGAGAAATGAGAGTATGGACTCGACGAGTTGGCGGCCCAACTCGACGAGTCGGGTCAACTGAATGTTGACTTTGACCAGGGGTAGAATAGTCATGTTACCCTCAGTATAGTTATCAGTATTTGATTGAGTGTATTTATGGGAAATTGTAGCCGGGGAGATACCGGAGCAGCAGCAGACAGTTTCCCCAGCAGTTGGTTCAGCAGCCAGATTACGAGGTGAGTTTCCTTCCAGTAGGAACGGGTCTACGGCCACAATGTCGGCCCGTTTAGTTAGCAGTAGTTCCAGACTTCGGTCTGATGCAGTAGTTCAGTGTGCTTGATGTCTTTGTGATTCAAGCATGATTTTGTGTTATGTGTTCCGGACTTCGGTCTGATGCAGTATGCGGTATCTGTGTTTATGCTAGTAGTTATGGTTATGATATGTTATGTTCAGTCAGTTCCGGACTTCGGTCTGATGCAGAGGGCAAGGCCCTGGTTAGTTCCGGACTTCGGTCCGATGTAGTTTTCGGATTTCGGTCCGATGCAGTTTCCGGACTTCGGTCCGATGCAGTTTCCGGACTTCGGTCCGATGCAGTGGGCAAGGCCCAGTAGTTGCTTATATGTTATTGTATGGTATGTGGTAGTTTGGGGGAGCTCACTAAGCTTTGTGCTTACAGTTTTCAGTTTTGGTTTCAGGTACTTCCGCAAGTAAAGGGAAGAGCTCGGGATGATGGCATGGCACACACTACAGATTCAGTTTATTCCTGGGAGTTTTGTTCAGATATTTTGATATGGTTGATACAGTATTTGTTTTGACACAGTTACATGACTTTTGAGTTACTCAGTTATGATTTTTAGTATGTATGATATTTGATGAGATGGTTTTTAGTAAAATTTAAACAAAAATTTTTGGGTCGTATTTTTGGGACGTTACAAGTTGGTATCATAGTCTTGGTTTGAGGGATTCAGGCACACTATCGGGTGTGACTGGACTCAAACTGAGGAAATGGTAGAAAGATTTTCAAAAATGTTTTCAAAAGATTTTTGAAAAAGAAAACCTAAAAAGAAAAAAGAGTTTTGAGAAAAGGAAAAGGTGTGGTGCATGCGATCAGCCGAGCTCAAGTAAGTACTCCCAAATTACCCATACAAGTTCATGTTATGTTTATCAGTTCCAGTTTCAGTAGAACAGCATGCTAGAATAGGACTAAGGATCTAGGAGGATGCCTTATGTGCCTGCTATATGTGTTTCAGTTTTATGAGAATTGCATGCTAGTATTGAGTATACAGCAGTAGGATAGCCTGTGTAGGTTATGCCTGATAGTATGAGCTTAGCATTATATGCTAGTACAGTTTCTCGTTATGAGGATAGATATGCTTGAGTAGTTTCCTGTGTCTGAATGCTGCTTGCTTTGTGCTTTGTGGGACTCTGAGTGATGGGAGTTAGCCATTAGGTGAATACGTCACGTCACATGTGATCAGGGTTGAATAATCTTAGAGTATTGGATTTGGCCATATTGCGCAGCTCTTGTTTGAGTCTAACCGTTGTAGGAGCGAGTCCTTTACTCGAAGGATTATCTGAGCCTCGCCACATGTGATGGTATTCATGTAATGGCTAATTGGCATTACAAGGAGGCCTTCAGTAGCTGAGGACTGGATTGGGTAGAGTCAGAGATTTCCCTAGGGCAAGCCTAAGATGGGAGTAGCAGAGATCAGTAGCAGTAGTAGTGACTTGGTGGAGTCGAGGCAATACTTGAGGAAAGTACGGATAGATGTGGAAGGTAGTATGGGCCCGTACTACTGAAAGCAGAGGATCCGTACTCGAATCGAGGAAAGTCGAGATGAGGCCAGGAAACTTGTGGTAGTAGTGATCCCTCGAGATATATCAGTGTTCCTGACGTTTATTATGATGTGTTTTCAGAATGGTGGTCTTATGCCCTAGACCAGCAGTTGACAGTTCAGATGCCGGAGGGGGATCAGGATCAGGCCCGGAGGCCGGGCAGTTGGATGAGCAGACTAGGGAGTTTCTCTATTCAGAGATTACCCGCACCATACTTGAGCAGACTCCTGTGATCTTCGGTTCGATCAAGGAGGGTATCTTAGAGTTGATGGACGAGAGGTTGAGCACCTTCCGTGCTGAGGTGGCGGCCATGATGGGGTCGCGCACGCTTACTTTCAGGGAGTTCCGGGCATGTGGAGCTCCAGATTACCACGGGGCGCGGGACCCCATAGCGAGTACTAGATGGTTGGCGGACGTGGCCAACGCTTTCCGCACGAGCAGGTGTCCCGAGGGGGACAAGGTCAGATTGGCGTCCTGTCTTTTGAAGGACAGGGCACGAGATTGGTGGGAGGAGGTAGGGCATGTCATCGGGGATGACGCAGCACTTGATGCCATGACTTGGGCTGATTTTACTACCAGGTTCAGAGCCGAGTTTGCACCGGTTATTGAGGTGCAGCAGTTAGCCAGGGAGTTCCAGGATCTCACCCAAACTACAGAGACAGTGGCGGAGATTACCGCCAAGTTCAGGGAGAGGGCTCTTCTTGTTCCTCAGTACGCAGCTGATGAGGAAATGAAGAAGGCCCGTTATCATGAGATGTTGCGGAGTGATATCCGCCAGTTTGTGAGCCGGTCCAGCTGTAAAACGCTGGATGACATGATTGCCAGGGCTCGAGAGAGAGAGATTGACCTTGAGATGGAGAGGAAGAGGAAGCCGGAGGCGGCTTCGGGTACAGGGAGTTCGGGCAAAAAGCCCAAGGTGTCAGATCACAGATCCAGAGGTCAGCAGA